CAACAAAAATGAATAGGTTGAAAAATGAGACCTGCTAGCCAAGTCCTGATGTCTCTAGCTTAGATATGAGAGGTTAAAATTTCTTAGGCAGCTTGCACTCAGAGTTTCAATCACTATGTTGAATATTTTCTAGAGAGACACACTGAACACTTAGTTCTTTTCCTGCCGTAAACACAGTTGCAACATTAAGCTCACTAAATGCAGCTCTGTTTTAGTATTTCAGCTAATAAGTTAATAAGCAAATTTTACTGCTGTCCTTTGTCTCCCGCATGAACAGAATCTTGCTCTTTCCCCGTGTGTCAAATAAACAGTATCAGAGTATCTGGCATTTAAGAGGTCTTCTGAAGCTATATCTTGATTGTACCTTGGGCCTGAAGCATGCTAGGCAACACCTCTACCCTGGAACTATATCTGCACCCTGTTTACTTATTTTCAGTTTTCCGATAGACCCTTCCTGATTTGCTCAGCCTAACCTTGATTGTCATTCTTTAATTCAGTCTGCACTTGAACTTTCAATTCTCCTTCCCCTGCCTCCAAAATTACAGGTTTGTACCACCAGGCTGAGCTCTGTATATAAGCTTTCTGTGGAGAGACCACACAGAGCCAAATGAAAGTCAGGATTGGGTCCTCAACTTCTCTGCCATGGTCCCAGTCATCCAGGCGGGTGTAGTCTTAGACTTGTCTGTCTGAGAACCAATGGTGTGTTAGCCTGCAGGAGGCTCTCAAATGAAGGCATCTTTGACAGGGGAGGGGAGGGGAGGGTACTCATCCCGCTCCTCATCTGTCTTGTATATGACACTCAGTTTTCCACTTCAGGAAAAAGCTCAGTTCTTACTATGGTCTAGCGTAGATGGTAATGGTTGTGACCCCAATCCAATACTCATTTTGGGATTTTCCATGTTTTGGAAATGTAACAGTTTATCATATGTTAATTCTTGGAATTTGTGGGAAACATTTACTCCCTGCCTTGCCGAGAGCTTATTTCAGGTGCTGGCAACATACAGAGAAAGACATGCGATTCCTTAATAGAAATGTAAATGAACAAATCACTTAATGAACGAGAACCGAAGGAATTAGAAGGAGCCTAGTAACGATTTCTTAATGAGGACAGAATTTGAGCTGAGGATGAGGGAGTAGGCTTTGGTAAGACAAGCAGATAGCCAAGCAACATTAGCATTTAGGTATAAAATGAGAACGGCGTTTTGTTTCTGGGAGTCTGTAGATACTACCCACTAGTATATAAGAAAGCATTTCACCAAGGGGAGGGTAAAACGGCTTATCTGTTTAAATAGAACTAAAATCTTTCTCTTGTTCCACTCCATTCTTTTTCTGCTCATCATTATTTTTGACCTCTTCATATTGTATTGTCAAACTTTTACACTTTCTAAGAGCTCAACTTTTAGAGGCTTTTAAACCCAAATCTCAATTTTTTGAAGTTACTTTAGCACTAAGGGGCAGAGCAGTAACCAGGTCATCATGCACCTGCCGTGTGTTGAGTAGAAGACGCTCCACGTGGTCAAGATTAGCTGGGGAAACAGAGCGTCTTCTAACTGTTTAGAAACATCTCAGGGAAGAACATTTTGACTGGGCATCTCAGAAGCTAATTGTAGCTTATTCGAAAAGTCACACACATAAACTCTGCTTCTAAGTAGGTACCATAAAGGCAATTGCCTAGCTGAAGGCAATAGATTTAAATCTTTTCTTGAAACACTCTATTCCCTGAAGTGAGAGTCTTGGAGGCAAATGGAGGGCACCAGGACAGTCTTCACAATGCTTTGAAAAGAAACCTGCTCACTGGAGAATGTGGATAGATCCCCCAAGTACATTTACTCATGTAGAAGTATTTGGATGCTGGCATTCATTGATGACTGAATTAAGAAATCAATGTGGCTGGTTTATAAAGGGACCACTCTGTGTCCTTAATGAGCATACTGGGAGAATAATAATCGGTGATGGTGATGGAGCTTAACCCAGCAAGTCATTAAGAATCCTGCATTCCAAATACTTTTCACTAACACTGCCCAACAGTCACTAACATTGCAGGAGGTACCTCCTTTACTGCCTTCGGGACAATCTCCTTTAATGAGAAGATGAAGCTGGAGAGGAAACACCCTTTGTAGCAATTTGGACCACAAAGCCATCCAGGTTAAATGGAGGACTAGTTAAGGTTTAAATTGGAACTATCCACCACTGGGTTGAGTTTTAAGAGCTTATACCTCAGTTGGTAGTGTTATTGAAGTTGTGGACCTTCAGGGGGTGGGGCTTAGCTGGCAGAAGGCACCCCTAGGGATAGGCCTGCCCTATGGTCTGGTTTAACTTACTCTGCTTCCTGTTCTACCATAATGGGAAGCCTGTATCACATGTTCCCAGAGCTATAAAATTGCCATGAATTCCCTGCCAAGACACACCCTCTGAGACCGTGAGATAAAATGCATCTTTTCTCTTACATGGTGTCTCTGTCAGATCCCTCTTTCACACCAATGCAGAAGTCACCAAGACCGGCCCATTACAAAGTCTAAACAGCTGAGAGACTCACAGAAGGGAAATGAGGAATGTCCCTCTCTAAGATCGTTCTCAATCGCTTGTTTTTCAACACGAAACTCTGGGCTCTGGTCTGTGCCTGGGTGCTAAAGTTAGATGGTAGGCATTGAAAACCATGTGATGGATTTGTGGCCATTTATTTTTACTTAGTGTCATCCTCTTTCAGTTCAAGCTTTTTTGCCTCTTCAGGAAGTCTACGTATTTAAAGATTTAAGGCAGTACTACCAGCTTCCTGCTGTCACCAAAGTCACTAGGATGTGTGACCACAGTATTCATGGAAACAGAGGTTGATACACATGAAAGATACTCAGGGAAATTATATCTCCAGAGATGTTTTCTTAGCAATGTCCAGAAGTGCTTTAAATTCCCACAAAGAACAGAACCCCGTGTCCCGTCCTTTCCTCTCTAGCTCATCCCTTGTTCTTTAGTGAGATCTTTGTCTCCTTACACATGGACACTTGTCATGCCTTTCCGACTAGCCTGTGAAGATGCTGTGTTCATTCACATTGTTTTATATGTGGCTGATTACCTGTTTCCGTACAATTTCTGTCATGTCAGCCATCTTCATTTCTTACCTTGTGTACACCGTGAACACTTTCGCAATATTCCACAGTGATCCTGAGCTCACAGCCAGTGAACACAGTAACAAATCGGGAATTTTGATAAGGAAGGCATGGCTTCTCTTAATAGCATGAACGGGATTTTTTTTTTCAAAATGTACATATATCTTTTCTTCCCCTTAAACTAGCCTGACTTCTTCTGAAGAGTACACAATATCAAAAGAACAAGGTCAAATAGGATAAACATTTGTAAGGTAGCTTGTTAAATAGTTATAAGAAATGATTATGGACACATGCAGAGTTAAAATTTACGGCAGGGAAAACAAATGTCCCAAACAGCCTATATGTAATTCTTTATTGAATGTACTTAGAAAACGTTTGACACTTGGCTGGTGAAATTGTTATTGAAGTGTGTTAGATGTAGACCTTAAAATTTATCCTCTCCAAACAGAAATTTTCACCTCTTTTGGACTCAAGTATAAAAGTAATGGCAAAATTTACATGATCTGCTCTGAGATGTGCGATATTTTCTACCCTTCTAATAAAGTTAAAAGATGTTTATGAAAAACCAATTATCCAAATTACTCATAATATGACTATGTGCTCTGAAGAAGGGAAGAAATTTGAAATAGCTCATTTAGAACAGCACAGAATTATACACGGAATTTTAAGTGCCAGAAATCTGGAATATAAAAATAAGGCTAGGCCGATTCAAATAGAGTCTTTTTAAGCAAAACTGTGACATATAAAGAACATATCATATCTCTTCCTCTATACTTGGGCTTTTATTATAGTAATTTAGTAAGAGGTAGAGTATGGCTCCTCTTAGAATCATGGCCTTTGATTACTGTGACATTAGTGTTCTCACCAGAAAAAAAAATATTGAATTTCAAGTAGCATATAGAACTCATATGGGGTAGCTGAAAAAGCACAAAAGATCAATTGAAGGTCTAGCTCTCATTCCACCTACAGATGGGAGTTTTTGTGCAGCCAGTCTTTTGGGGAATTGGGAAAATGAGGAAATTGAGCTGGATGACTTCTCGGCCCTTTCAGCTCTAAGATTCTGTGGCTTTGTGAGTGAGTACCGCAGGCATCTGAGGCGTGTGTTCTTTTTCTAATGAAGTTATGATGAGAGCAGTTATCAGCTTTTTATCTAATTTATGTTGTGCGCTAAATTCTGTCTCCCTAATTTCTGGTCATTATTTGGCTTCTCTGAATATACTTTCCCTGAGAAATTCTTTGTATTTGCAATTTCTGGACACAAGAACAAAAAATTGTGTGAAAAATAGAGTACAGAGATACCATACCTTCTTGTGATTGATAACATGAATAGGTCCAAATATAATTCAGCTTATAAGGACCATATTATAACTCTGCATCATTTGTACTGTGGGCAGGGCATTCTTATTCCTTGACTTTGAGCCCTGTGAGTTGTGTCTGCTGATGGGATAGCAACAGATATGATACAGCAGAGAAGTTTGGAAGGAACTTAAGAAGTGGTACTTGCATCCTGCTACATCTTGGGCATCACCCTAAAGTCATTCTGAGACTAGATCACTGTTTACAGGAAGAAGAAAGGAGACAACTTGGGAAGAGTCGTTCATAGCTGAGTCTCTACTCATCCACTTGAGCTGATCTTCAGACTGTATATTAATAAATAGTTGTGTTAAGCCACTAAAATTGGGGGCACTTTATTTAGTTGTTGTAACTATCTAATATACTTCAATATCCCAGTGGTCGAATGTTCTATATTAAAACATATCATTAAATACCCATAGAAACTAAAAGTTAAATTGTTAATACCATCCATTGATGAAATTATTAGCACCATCTAATGCTGTTCTCCTGCCACATAAAAGAAGAGACACATCCGTTTGCAGTAGCATTTGTCGGTCTTACCTGTATGGAAACACTGCTGTATGAGCCACCAATGACCCCTGCAATGAGCAGCGGCATGTTTTCTTGAATAGCATATGATCCATCAGGACACATATATTCAGCTTCATCAACTTTAGTCAAAGATGCCCTGACAAACTCCAACGATTGCTCTAGTGCGTAGGTATCCCTTGAACACGTATCCAAAATGTGAACACCCAGCTTCACTCCTGGTAGCAAGTAATCGTCTTTGTTGATTTCATCAATAGCAAACAACATGGCTTCCAGGCGTTGGATACCGCGGTCTTCATTGATTCGCCCACACTCTTCAGTTCCAGTGCCTTTTTCATTAATAGGAAATAAACCACCCAAGACAAGGTCACCTTCTATTTTAATTTCCCTCCTCATAAAGTTGTGATCCCCAAAAGAGGGTAAAAATCCCTTTGAGAACAAAGTTAACATAAGAATTTGGAGTCTTGTCAACATCTTCATGAATCCGGTTTCTGTATCTCTTGGAGATATCATGGGTGAAGCCAATGTTGCCTGTTAGTCTTCTCTCATTTCCAAGTGGGATCTTTGGCCTGTCCTTCAGATAAGGGAGGAGTGGGCTAAAAGAGCCCTTCACCGAATTCCTGAAGAGATAAAAGTTATATGAACAAAAATGATTTTTAAAAACAGTAATAATTATATAGATGTTTCTCACTAAGATCTTTGATGGGTTCCTAAATTGGACAAACCAACTTGGGAGCATCTTTTCATTGACCTTTATTGACATCTTGACTATTATCTTCCTGTTAATACGTAACTACCTTTATGTTCTCATTTTGCTTCTGGGTACACCTCAAATCTAATAACACACCTCACCCCCCAGTTCCTCCTCCTCATTTCTGTGCCAACTTTCCTGTGTTCATGGCTTGAACTACCATTTCAATGAGACATAACTCCAACACTGATTACTTGTTGAGTAGTTTTAGTCACGTGTCTCTCAACAATCCACAAAGTCTGCATGTAATAAATGGCCCCTTATATTTGTATCTAGGTTCTCAAGCCAGAAATCTGCCATTGAGAGTTCTGCCCACTTCACTTTTTTTTCAACACTCTTCCAGTTAGCCATGAGAATAGAAGAATCTCTCTGGCCAACCTCTTTGAAGCCACAGCCCTCTTTGGTACTACTTCAACATTTTTGACATTTCTCTCTTGTCGTGAGAGCAGTTCCCTTTAAAGTCCAGCTTCCTGGTGCTTTCACCACGTGGGCAAAGAATAAATTGTTTTTTCGAAACACAGACTATTCTGAATTTTGTTAAGTTCGTTTGTTTAGGTTTCAATTTTGGTGATGATGACAGCAGTCACTGGAATGTTCCAGGTTAGCCTCGAGTCTCTGCCACAGGGCCCCAGGAATTCTTAAGACAACAATTTCTTTTCAGAGTTGATACCGGAGAGCTATTTTTTTAATTGTGGTTACATATCAATGCCTGGTTCCTTTGATGTTGTGTACAATTCTCTTTGAAGTATAAGTGCCAACACTAGGAGGCAAAAGATACTCATCGTTATCAAGAATAACGAAGATACAGGAATTGCTCTATAAACGCACACTTTTATTTGCCTAATTAGAGAGAATAATTAATTCAAAGAAGGTTTGCCACGTATCTTTAAAAATTACTGACTTTTTTTTTTTGAATGTAAGGGAGTGTGACACCAACTCCTCAAAGAAAACGTTATAGACAGCTGGAAACTTAATTGCCTTTTGAGAAAGGGCTCTGAGGAAAAGAGCATCTCAGGGGAATCAGCATGTGACTTTTAAAGGTAATGGCACATACAGGTATGATTGCTCAGCAGGTAGAGAGTGTGTATGTGTGTGTGTGTGTGTGTGTGTGTGTGTGTGTGTGTGCTATTTTGTGTATCTAGGGCTTGATATGCTCTTTACATATTCCATGACTATTTTGTGAAGGGTTACACAGAGCCATGACAACTGTATTTACATATGAGCTATACTCTTAACACCCAGCACGGCAAAAGGTCTAAACAGGGAAATGCATGGCTTTAATCTCATTAGCTGTCTACTTACCATGTGCTCTCCCCGTTCACCCACTTCCGCAGTAAGACTGCAGCTAGCAGGCACAAAATAAGGGAATGTTTGAGAATTTTTATAGGCTGAGAACGTTTAGTTTGAAAATATGAAGTGCTACAATATCTGTAACTTGAGGACGGATACAGTACAATAAACTATACTCCTAAGTACATGTAACAGGCCACAGCTCAAACACAGGAATATTAATTAAATATTGCCCCACGAAATGAGTTTGATGTATATATGAAGCACGAATGGACTTCTTATTTGGATTTGGGTTCTATCATCAAGATATTGCATTATGAATCTGTAAATATTTTAAAATTTCCCCAAGAATATGAAATTTAAAATAATTCTGGCCTTGAGCATTTTGGATAAGACATACCAACCATATACAAGCAAAAAGAGATGTTTTCTTTGGATTTGTAATTCGCAGTGAAGTTGGGTTCAAACAAAACCATAAATGGACCTTCACTTACTTCTAGGTTTTTGGGTCAACAGAAGCATACATATTATCCTATTTCAAAGTTTCAAAGATTTAATCGACTCAGGTCAAATATTTATTGAATACTTACTGTATATGTACTAGGCCCTAGTTAGAAACCTAGAATATAGATGCACCTAGTTAGCTGCAAAGTAAATAATGTTGTCTTGGTTATCAAGCAACATTCTTGATTCTTAAAAGTATGTTTGTATATGTCAAGAGTAACAGAAAAGTATTTCTGTTTTCGCCAAGTCTTTCCATCATTTAAAAATAATCTTGGAGGTAAGAATATCATGAATTTCCTTTAGTGTGGGTGTTATTATAAGTACTTGACCCAAAGACAACCTACTTATGCTGTATACTATAGAAATTGAAAACTTAGATATTCAGAGTTCCAATACAAGCTGACTAATGATTTCGTGCAAAATAATTTTATTTAGCAACACAATGTAATCTTTAAGTAAAATATAATGTAGTCTAACACAATCACAATTTAACAATCAATTAAAATAATGTTTAAACCCATTTTCTTAGAATTTTCTTTTTTACCTTTTCCTTAAAGTAGAATTTATAATGATTAAGGCTATGTATGATTTATAAATTACTTAGCATTACTTAAAATGAAGCCCTAAAAGCTGAAAGAGAGAGGAAATTAAAAAAATAACATTGAAAAATAGATGAACATGCCTAATCCAATGTAAATGTTTATCTGTGTGTAACAGTTTATCAGATTGTGAGGAAAGCAGAAACTGCTTTGAAGGTTCTGTTCATTGTAAATCAGAAGCAGCTTGGTCCCTAGACAAACAGGTTCCCTGCTAGTCACATTTGAATGCAGCTGGAGGATTGCAGCTCTACTAAATTCTCCATTCAGGGATGCTGAGTGACGTGTCAACTATAAACAAGCATGTGTAGGCCTCTCTGTGGGCAACCTGCTCAGTAATGTTTTATTAATCACTGCATTAATGGAATCTCAGAGGTTTGCTATGAATATCACCCCTGGAATACGTGGGCAGAAAACACTTCTGTGCTCTGGCTATGCTAATATGTATTTTCCTTTCTCCCCTGGCTTTGCCTGGAGCATTGGTGTGGGAACTGAAACCCACCTTGATTCAATGAATAAGTAGTTTTTCCTGGGGAGAAGAAGAGGGAGGTCTAAAGTCTGAAAGGATTCTCACTTCTCCCAGAAAAAAAAAAAAAAAGCCCTAAGTTACTGCTGGATTTCAAAGAGTGTTCAAATCCTGTCTGCCCAAAAAAGTTGTTAACCTAGCATACTCAATTTGATCATTGCTGTAAATTTTCAGATGCTAGATTTATAGACAAAAAAGACAGGACTCTGGTTTTTAGACTTCCATTTTTTCCCCCTAGAATAATGTGATGCTGGACCTATATTGGCATTTAAGTACCAGAGTACAAAACAATAACAGGACAGGAAATTCCTTTCTCTTGCTGAGGGAAGGAAGAGGACAAACAGGCTAATGTCCCAGAGGTCTTTGAGAAGCTTTCATGGTTTGATATGAACTGTCCCTACAGACTCATTATGAGTGCTTAGTTGTCAGAGAAAAGGCAGATGAGTTGCTGGGAAGTGTTTGAATCTTGGAGGGTCGGACGTAATCAATAGATAAATGCTTTGAGGAATTCATGATATGAAGACATAATGGGAGATGATAAAAGTATACGGTGGGGCCAGATGGCAAAAGTTGGCCACTGGGGGATGTTTATGAAGATTGTCTTGCTCTTCTTGTCTGTCTGTCTCATAGTATGTTGTTTGCTGTTAGGCAATTGACCAAGCCAGTAGGTAAGCATTCTACCACATGGTGTCCATCAGGATGTGTGTCCCTCAGCATCCATGGAGTCAGCGGCACCAGAAACCAGTAGTGACCATGGATGGAAACGTCTGAGACTCTGAACAAAAATTCCTTTTCCTCCCTCAGTTGTTTTACTTGGGCATCTCTGCCACAGCCCTCTGAAAGTAAACATGGAAGCTATTACAAACACCTGACTATTGGAAGCTTGATTTTGAGATGGTCTAAACTGCTGGTTCTCAATCTTCCTAATGCTGCAACCATTTAATATGGTTCCTCATATTGTGGTGACCCCCAACCATAAAATTATTTTCTTTGCCACTTCATTACTGTAATTTTGCTACTGTTGTGAATCATAGCGTAATAGTTTTGGAGGAAGGGGCTTGCCAAAATGGTTGCAACCCAAGGTTGGGAACCAGTGGTCTAAACTGTCTTCCTTTGTTGTCTTATGACAGTTGTAAGGGTTCCCTCATTCAGTGGGTTCCCAAACCCTGCTAGGTTTATCTAGAGGATTTTATATTATTTTGTTTTATTTGAATAGCTTACTTTTTAATTTTGATTCTTTTGCATATATATATATATATATATGTTTATATGTGTGAGATGTTCATGTAAAGGCTTGAGGTTGAAGGTCAGTGTCTTCTTCCTGCCTTCTCTACTTTATTTATTAAAGCAGAATCTCTCACTGAACAATGTCTGTATAGTCCAGCTATTTAGTGTGTCACAGGGATCTCTGTCCCATGGGTCTCAGTTTTTCTGTGGGTTCTGGGAATCTGAATTCTGGTTCTCATGCTTAGGTAGCAAGTGCTTTATCCACCAAGCTACCCCACCAGGGCCAAATAATTTGAAGTTAAAAACTGTCTTATTCTCTTTCCTTTCCCCATTAGATTGTGAACAACTATCTCTCAATCCAGAATGATGCACTGGGTACTTTTGTACACTTTATAATATCTTAACACATCTTTACCAAATATTTGTTAAATAAATTCCAAGTAGTATCTATGTGTCTGAGAACATGTCAGGAGACTTGAACAATTCTGGGATTCCATTCAGAGGGTGAAAAAAGATGAATGAAAAGTTGGAATTCAATTAGAGAAATTGGCCTCAAATAGTTCTGACCTGATTACTTTTTTGTCTT